CGTAGCGGACCTGGAACAGACCAACAGGAAAGGGGGTTTGGGGATCCCTCCAAGCCCTCTGGCAGGCTGAGCTGCAGCCAGCGGCAAGCCAGCAGAGCATTGGGCTGTGCAGGCGACACTCACGATAAGGACGGCAATGAGAGCCCCTTGGAGCAGCCCCGCCAGCACATCGCTCCAGTGGTGCTTGTAGTCGGACACTCTGGTGTAGCCCACGTAGATGGCGAAGGCGATGAGGAAGAACTGGATGGTGGGGCGCAGCAGCCGGGCCCACTTCCCTACCAGCCGGGCTTGCACGTAGAGCTGGGCAGGGAAGGGGGAAGCAATCACCCAGCGCAGGGGGCACCAACCAGCTGAAGACAGGGTGCTCGTGGCACCAGTCCACCTGGGGGGACGGGACCCGCGGGGCTCACTGCCTCCCCACAGCACGGCACGCTTGGAGCACAGCACTTACCGCCAGGAACATCATGCAGTACATCCCAAAGGAGGAGTGCCCAGAGTAGAACGAGAGCCTGCGAGGCAAAAGGGATGGGTCAGGCCATGAGAGCGAGTGCCCAGCTGGCCCCCTGCAACCCCCCACCCACTCTGCGGGCTCTGCCCTGTGGCAGGAGAGCATCAATACCCGTCTGTGGCTGCCACCAGACCGCAGGAGCCCAGCCCTGCCAGGGGGGTGGAGGGGATATTTTTTATGCCTCACCTGGACTCAGTGACGTTCCTGCTCTCCCCCTGGCAGACATTCTCCAGCTGCACGTAGATGGAGCAGTTCACCTTGGACCAGTCCGGATTGCAGACAGCCAGGAAGTTCGGCCGGAGACGGCCGATCATGTATTTAGCCAGGTCAGTCAGGGACTGGCTGATGGCCCCCCCGAAAAGGAAGGTCCCCACCACCTTGTAGAGGGCAGCCAGGTAGTTGTTGAACTCTGACTTGGAGTAGAGGCGCTCTGTGTAGACCAGGTATGCCTCCCCTGACGAGATCTGCAGAGACCAAGGGGCAAGGGCTGAGGGTCCTGGGGATACCAAGCAGCTCCAGGGGTAAGGGATGCTCCGGCTCTCAGGCCTGCGGCAGAGGAGCCCTGGCACCTGCCTGCCACAGGAGCTCATGGTGCCTCTCCCCCTCCCTGCAGAGAACCAGCCCCCCCACGGGACATGGGTCTCACCGCCTCAGAGGGAGCTCCTGACTCCCTGCAGAGTAGGGCTTGACCCGAGGGTCCTGATGCCCTGCCGGGGGTCTGGAGGTGGGCTGTGCTGGGTCCCAGCTCCTGGACACAACGTGCCAGGATGCCCCTACCCCAGAGGGAAGGGGATGGTGCTTCCTTACAATGACAACAGTGCAGGTGATGGTGACCCCAGCCATGAGGCCATGGGTGATGGTGTCCGCCTTGTAGGGGTAGCGGATGGAGTCGTCGTTGCAGTAGAAGCCCCGCTTGTACGGGGAGTTCACCAGCGTCAGGATGATGAAGGGCAGAGATGCTGCAAGGCAGAGAGAAGGCGAGGACTGGGGACACCCACCTGCAGACACCACGTGGTCTCCCCATCTCTCACCACCAGGTCTCCAGGTTTCCCACTGCTGGGGGGATCCCCTCTGGGGACAGAGTCCCAAGTCACCCGCGCCAAGGGCAGGAGGACTTGCACCCATCAGCACTGGCCCCACCACTGATAGGGCCCTATCGCAGCTCGCAGCTGCCTGTAGCGCCCAGATACCACAGAAGTTGGCCGCGACCAGGCGCCTGCAGAGCCCCCACAGCTGCCCTGCTCCCTCCCAGGCGCAGCAGTCGCAGGGCCTGGTGCAGGAGACCAGGGCTGATCTTGCACCCTCTCCTCAGGCTCCCCAGGGTCTTTTGGCCAAGGAGGATGGAGCTCATCAGAATTAACGAGCACAGACACCTCGCAAACCTGTTCTACAGCAGGGAAGGGCCTCCAGGCCCCAGATGGTCCCAGCAGGACCCTTGCACCGGCTCCAGGAGAGCCAGTGCCTGGAGATGCTGGTGCGTGACCCAGCCCAGGCACAGTCAGACCCCAGCACACTTGGCTTCCCACCCTTACCCTCCTGCAGCCCTTGCTCCTGCCGACCTCGCCCCTGCCCCAGCTCCTGGCAGGGCTCTGGAGAGATGCTGTGACCGGCTGGATCAGTCCAGGGGAGGAGGCTTTTCCACCCAACGTGACCCAGCCCTGGCCACAGGCATCTCAGAACTCGCGTCTGGATGGGATCGTCCCCGAGATCAAAAGGGGTTTGTTTTGCGGGTCTCTGCACCGTGCAGCAGGCACGCCAAACTCCCCGGACCTCCTGCC